ATCCCCAGTACCAAAAAAAAAAAAAAAAAAAAGAATTTAGACAATGTGACACTCAAACTGTTTGTGGTAAGAAAATAACTAGGTTTTCCTTGAAGGCAACTTTATAGAACCTTTCATACCAGTAAGGCATATATCCACTACAGAGCAAATGAATTGCTAGCAATCCATTCTACAAAAATACTTATTTTCAATTATCCCCTATTTTATGCAGAATAACTGCAACATTGTTTGCAGTGAAAAATTTAAGATAATACAAATGAACAAGAGACCCATGATTTAGCTCAGTGGTGCTGCACCTGCCTCACAAGCACAAGGTCCTGAGTTCACTCCCCAGTACCAAAAAAAAAAAAAGTAAAGAGTGAAGTTAGGAGAAGCTAACAGTGACTGAGATTAAGCCTAAGAGTTAGGAAAACGGTAGGATTAGTTAACAGAAAATTGTAAACAAGAAGTGAAAACTAATAAACTATTGAAGGTGATGATGGATTATGATGTGTTGAGTTTGAGTTACTAACAGAACAGAACACCCAAGGTTATCACTGGAAAACTAGGACAAAAAGGAGTTCAGACACCAGGTCATCACTGAAGTTTTGACACAGGCCTCCAGGACTGTGCTAATGCAGTCTCTGGCTAAATGAGGGATTTAAGAACTCTATATCTCCAAGCACAGCTTAAAGCAATTTACGTTGTCTACAGAATGACTCAGAGTCCGAGAATACTGAAGTCAGAGCTTGGATGGATGACACTTAATTCCACGAATGCTGCTAGATACTCTCTTGGCTGCCCTGGCTTTGTCCCCCACTCACCCTGCTTCAAACTGGCTTTAACTCTGTCCTCAACACAGCAGTGACTTGGGCCTGTCACTCTCTGATCTGAGGTGCTTATCATGACTGAGACCCTGGGAAAACTTGTGGAACAAAGAACGTCTTACCTCTCAACCGTTTTGCTCTAGGCTTCTTTTTCTTAGGGTGACTAAGTGGAATATCATCTATAAAACAGAAACAACATTAAAAGAAAAAGCCGTCTAAAACTCAATGCAGAGAACAGTCAGAAGAGACAATTATTTATTTGTGTTTTGAGACAGGGTCTCACTGTGCAGCCCAGGCTGGCCTCGAACTTGAAGCGATCCTTCTGCCTCAGCCTCTTGAGTGTTAGGATTACAGGTGTGCACCACCTGGCTAGAGCTTTTATTTTTTTATTTTTAATTTTTTTTAATTAAATTCTTTTATTGGTACATTGTAGGTATACAACACAATTACATTTCTCATTGGGAATTGTACCTTTACATAATGCATCTTGG